TGTGGAGTCTCCTTCTCTGGAGATATTCAAAGCCCGCCTGGATGAAGTCCTGTGTAACATGCTCTAGGAGAACCTGCTTTAGCAGGGGGGTTGGACTAGATGATCTCCCGAGGTCCCTTCCAACCCTTGCGATTCTGTGATTCTGTGACACCCAGGTTGCGATCAGCAGCACAAAGTCCAGCTTCAGGCAGTTCACTAGTGGGGTACCTACCCCAGGTGTCCACACTGGGGCCAAAAATATTTAAACTCTTTGTTAACGACTGGGATGATGGGACAGAGCACACCCTTAGCCAGTCCACAGATGACAAATCTGCTGACTGTGCTGCCATTCAGAGGGACTTTGACAGGGTGGAGACACAGGCTGACACAAATCCCATCAAGTTCAATAAAGGAAAACACAAAGTTCTCCACCTAGGGAGGAATAACCCCGTGCACCAGTACAGGCTGGGGGCCAACTGGCTGGAAAGTGGCTTTGCAGAAAACGACCTGGGATCCTGGTGGATGACAAGTTTAACATGAGCCAGCAACATGCCCCTGCAGCAAAGATGGCAACGTCTCTGGCTGCATTAGGATGACCTTGCCAGCAGGCCAAAGGCGATGATCCTTCCCCGACTGAATGTTGCTCCAAGGACTGGTTCGTTTTCAACTGAGTAGCAGATAAAATAGAGAAGCTGTCCAGGAAGCAGGGACTGAAATCAGGAGGTTTCCAGCGTAGAGTGTTTCAGCCTGAGTAATTCAAATTAACACACAACCAACTGGAAAGCAAGGTATTATGTTGCAGAGCATTAGACAAACATGCCTATAGGCAAAATACAAGTTCCAGCTTCGATACTGGAATACCTTACCAAGAACACACTTGATGACAAATAACACCCTACTAGAAGCAGCAGTCGACAGTAAAAGACCCAAGATCAAGCTTCTTAAGACTGAGATAGATCCTGAGCAGTGCAATAAGTTTGGCTCGAAGCACAGCAGTGACTTCAGCATGTACAGATTCAGCATCTCTGCAGAAAGTAACAAATTCTACCATTGTTGGGTTTCACTTCAGAGAAGCAAAATGCAAGTAAATGAGGATACCTCCTGGTAAAAATGGGGGGAAGACGGGGGGAATACAAATTAAAATTACTGCAGTGGAGTCCACCAAAAACATTTCCAGCAGACCAGAAAGATAGCAGAGCCTGACAGGATGCAAATGGATGCCAGGAAGGAGAAAAAAAAAAAAAAAAAGAGAGAGAGAGAAAAGATAAAGAAAAAAAAAAATCAGCTTTCTGAAAGCAATCTCTAGTCAAGTGATATTAGGAAAGGTCAAATCCTGACAGGTTCTTTGAGAAAAATCTGCAAAAGACACAGGAACAACCATGTTTCTTCCCAAAGACAGCAGGAGCAGGCAGTCTCCAACAGGCTGTAAGCAACCTAAATATTAAGAATGTTCAAAATAAGGCAATAGCAGGAAAAACTGAATGCATTTTTTTACATTGATGTTCACCAGGAAGGAGCTTGGAGAGCTCACGGAGACACATGGGGGAAATCTCAGCCTCATTAACAGCTTCTGCTTCTAAATGAACAAAAGGAACAATGAGTCACCAAGGGCCAGGTCTCTCCCAAGGGCTCCAACAGATGAAACTGCTGCTCTAATCCATGTGTAAAGCCTCGCCTGAACCCATCAGAACCAAAACATGGCCGTGATGTCAATTATTAAGGAGAGCTCCAGACCAGGCCCAGGAAACTGCCAGTTGGCAAGTCTGCTGGCCAGGCTGAACAAACCAACAGAAACTATAATAGATAATGTTAACCTGTGTGTCCATTAGATTTTACGTTCACGAAGAAAAAGCATAGCTTTTTTAAGGGAGAGGATAACTTCTGTATCTATGCAAAGGTGCCAGTAAGCACATGGTGCCAGTAAGAACAATATGGGCAGATACTCCTCTGGTGCATGCTTGGAAACCCCTGTAAATTATTCAGCAAGGCTCCCTGAGGGCTCTTCAGATAAATAAACTGGCATGAGATAAGAGGGATTATCTCCCCATGTAAAAGGCAGGAATAAAAGGTAAGAAGAATTTGTCAGTTCTCAACATAAAAAAATAAATTGCCATTGAGATAACCTGCCCCGGCTTCTTCCCAGACTGCTGACCCCTTCACTGCCTGGGTTTGTTCAGCACTTGTTTCTCTCTCCAAAACACATTGGGAGTCCTCACGATAGAAAGAACTTAAGACAGTGGAACTTATCAAACCAACACAGTACTATAATAATGCATCGCATCCCATCAACTCATGCGTCACAAAATGGTGACTCATACTGGTCCAACTTACAGGATGCAGAAAATGAAGCATGAAGAGACCTACAGTAGCATCCTGGGGATAAACCATCTCACTGATCCAAGGTCAAACTCCCAGCTCTAGACCGTGAGCACCAAATGGAAGTGTTAAAGCAAAGCCCCTTGTGTAGCTATTACCAAAAAAATATTCTGTGCAGCCAGTCATCGTTAGGATGATACAAACCAAATCTGCTGACTGCGTGCAACCTACTGCAGCAGACTATAAGGATGGCCTTGCTCAGTATATCTGCAATGCAGCAGAATGACTACATCCTTCAGTAGCAGATGAATATCACGATGCTTCTCTGTACTCTAGCCTTACGCTTTTCAAAGCGATTTATAGCATCTGCTCACAACCAAACATATGCTGCTTTCTTTATGAGCCCCTATTTCTAGAAATAAGCAGCGCACTCAGGGGGAATCAGTACAGCCAGAATCATGGCCAGCCTGCTTACCAGGCAAGTCTCAGGGTATTGTTCCCTGCAGGTTTCCATAAATGCGATGAAAGAGGGTTCTCAGAGTGAGAAGAAAGCAGCCAGCTGCTGCAGGTCTGGAAGCTGGGTCCCTCCAGGACATTCATATTTGAGGAAATTAACTTTTTTATAATGCATGAGGTACAATGCTCAGTTCAGGTATTTTTATAAGTCAATTACTTTGGAAAAAATCTACTTGGAGAAAAAACATCATCTGAAGATACCAGGACACTACCCTGTCCAAGCAGATACTTTTGCCTGCTTCTGACTCTAAAAGTTGCACTCGTTTGGGGTTTTTTAGGGGGGTGTTTTTGGTTTGGTATTTTATACCACAGATGAGCTTGTGAAATCTCAGTTCAGTTTATCACCGAAGGGCCAGGACGGCTCTCCAGGGTAGCAGCGCAGCAGACTGACAGAACAGAGGAGGCAAGTCTTAAACCATATCACTCCTTTGTTCCCTGCCGTTCAGGGCCACTTCATTCTCCATCCTTAGCAGAATTCATCTGGGCCAGGTGTTTTACGCTAAGACACTAAGTGTATCATTCAATATCTTTTTTGAACATTTTTCCCCATTTTTCAAGCCCAAGCTCTTCCCCCTTCTGCTACATGTGATGCCCTCTCTGCTGACATTACTTCCGTCTACAATCTACATATTTTAGAGAGCCACCATACAGTTGCAGCAAAGCAAGGAAACTAATTATTTGCATTGGCTTCTTCTAATACAAAGCCCTTCTGTGTGGGCTGGGCTGAAAAATTGATGTGTTTTCCTCCTTTCTCGCAAAAGTAAAATCCAAACTCAGCTTCTATCAGTCACCACAGCACTGTAATTAAATAATCCAAATTGTTGTGTCCACACTCTGGTTGTCTCCCCCTTTTGTTCTTGTGCATGAAAACCCCTAGAACGAGTTTCTACTGACTCTGCTCAGCGCTCCAATAGGGTTTGAAAGTGAGAAGATCCCCCTAGTAACACAATTCAATGATAAATATCTACTTGAAATAGCTTAAATATTCCAGCAACTAACAGGAACAACAGCAAAAACAAAACAAACAAACAAGAAAGCTCAAAAAAGCCTGAAGTCCTTCATTAAAACAGCAATTATAATTAGTTAAACAGATCCAGATTCCAAGCAAGAAATGCTCCAGAGAAAAATTTACCTTTTTTTTGGTATCTCCAGTTCTGAGAAAGAGGCACATTTAAAGTTTTTGTCTCTAAAGACACAGAAGTTTTGTTAATTAACCTACTGTATTCACCTTCCCAAATCTGAAATTCCATTCCACCTCCATCCAAATTTTGATAACAACTGCTTTTTAGTTAAAAGTTGAAAGAGCAACAGTGTGCACTTACTGCCCCGACTGGAAGTCCTTCTCATTCACCACAGCGCAGTTGGTTAATGACAGTTCATCAGTGGGACATCTCGCTGCTTGCATAGACTACAAGAGAGAAAGAAGGAGGGGAAAAAAACTATGAAAATTTTATTTTTCCTTTATTAAGTCAAGCCTCAAAACGTCTGTAAATCCACAGAACATGAATAGGTTTCATGAGTATTAATAACAGAGTCCACTGGCATTGACAAGCTCCTCTCTTCACCTTTTCTCCAAACGCTTCTGTTTGATACAGATATTTGTACCCAAAAAGCTCTGCATTTTCTGAGTCCGGTGCAACTTATATTTTCTATCATACCTAGGCAAGTAACTAAAAATTACCGAGGAAGAAGCCTGCAAGGCAAATGCTGTTAACTTGCTAGTGAACCCTGATGTTCATGCAACTTCCCCAAGCCCTGCAACGTGGCAGCAGGTAGCAAAGTGAATGCACTGCAAGGCATTTCTCGCCGTGAAAATAGACACCGGGATACTTTGAAAGCTGGTAAGGCAAAGGCAAAGCAGCCTAGAGGCAGAGCAGTGCCACTACAACCCTGGGTAACCCTATCTCACGTAGCTGTGCTCAGTTAGAGAGCACAGGGAAAAGAGGGTAGAACAAAGATGTTACCCTTCTTCCCTCACTTTACTCGGAAAACCAGAATCTGAGCACATCCATTCTGGATATACGTACTTTGAACAATGCCGTACAGGGCAGCACTGAAAGTCTGTGGGAAGGGTTAATTCTCAGCCAGCTGCTATCCAACTCCACAGAATCTCTATAAACTTCTCAAAAGAAGTATCATAATGCAAATATTATTTCCTCTATAGGAAACTCTATAGCAAAACATCACAGATCAGTAACAAACAGAAGAAAATTAAGTTAAACAGTTCCAGCCTATCACTACTAAAAAAAAAAAAAAAAACTACAACAAATTTTGTGGGGAGTGTCCTCCCCCTTACTTTTTTTTCCCCCCCCACAAAGTCAAAGGAACAATCCTATTTCCAAGGGCATTTTTAATGCCATGTTTAATTTTTTCCCCTCTGCTATTAGTCACAAATTGGCAGCTAAGATAACAAAATACCACCACTCTCCACCCAGTCTGCCCCATTCCATTACGGGTACCAAAGAGAAACCCCAGCCCTTTCCTATATCCCTAACCCCATCTGCTTCTGCAGAATTATTCCATAAAGTAGTGGCTGAAAGATTAAAATTGGGCTTAAAACACCCCTAGAAGTGGAGAAAAGCATGGAAAAGGCAAGATGTCACTAACATTAGCTATAGACTGAAAAAAAAATAATTCAGAGAAAAGCTAAACTGGATCCCCCAGGATGTTATTTTTAGAATCAAAGCACAACTATTTTCTTTGTCAGATACAAATTTGCAGGCAGTGCCACAGAAACTATTTGTCAGTGTCAAACTATTGCTAAAAGCAATTTGGAATGGATTTTCTCTTAAGACAACCTTAAATCCCAGCGCAAGGGGAGGAAACGCACTGATCCTAACGCACACATCGAGATAATTTCCCACGAGTTAACATCCTGCTCAACCTTTCCCTCCCTACACCTCCGGGCCAGTCGAGAACAGAATCCGAGAAAATTCATCTCCACATGGACTGAAGCAAGCCTGCCCTATAGCTCAAACCAACTTTTTGGGTCGTAATGTAATTCTTCTAGAGTACCTGCTATTTAGAAAAGGACTAATTCATTATTTTTACTGAATAATGCTCAGCTGCCCTTGACATATGTGACAACAGAAAAGGATTCCAGTTTCGGCCTTGAAACAGATTTATGTACCTGAATCTGAAGTGTATTAAGAGACTCAATTAAATATTTCTGTAATAAAAAAAAAAAAATATATGAACATCAGCAGACTTCCAAAATACACAGCCTGCCTGTCAAGGCTTACCATCTTCGGGCACTTCACACGAAAAAGTATTCGCTGGTTTGTCATTTCTCCTTCTATTTGAAAGGGGGCTATTTTTTGAACGGCATGCCCTGATAAAACGCATTAGGTAGGATATTTTGAGAAAACCGAACACAGAGCTCCAGGATTAAACCTTTTTACAGCACAAGTCCTCAACTGCATTTTTAATCCTTGCTGACAAACTGCTTCCTACGTGTTAATAGCGAGCGCCTGGCAAAGTTGCCATTCTTCTGGGTTATTCCTGTCCGCAGTTGGGAACGTGCAAGCTTTGCTTTAAGGAAATGCATAAATATAAAGGAACACACTGCAAATCCAGCACCAAGCGCTCCTTTTGCAAGCTCTACAATATGATAGATGCATGGCAAAACATCCCTGGGCATCTGACATGTGAAATAACGTAGCTGCTTCCACAGCAGTATCAGCACTGACTGTGCTAGCCATCCCACAGCCCAGCACATTCACCTCCTGGGCTGTTCAGTGGAATCCCCTTTCTCCCTGGGCAATGACCAACATTTCAGGCCTCATTGTAATCTGCGCTGTGCTCCCAGCTCTCCAGTATACCCCTTCCTCAAGCTCTAAAGTCATTTTGCAGAACTTCAACACATTATCAGTATACAGAAGTGGTTTTAACATAATACAGCTTGTGCAAGGAAAGGGCGTCGCTCAATGGACACAGGTTCTCATGAGTGTGCAAGGGAAATTTAGGGAAATCTGGCCATTTTAGAGATGATTAAACTGGAAAGCACCCAGACAAGGAGGAACACACTGCTCTAGTGCATTGCAGGGGCTTCCTCTCACCTCCCCTCTCCTCACCCCAGTGCTCACGTCCCCAGAACTGCTGCTCACAGGGATCCTTGTCTTGTCTGCCAAGCAACTGAGCTGTCGCAGCAAGGATGTGGGCACTGGCTGCTCCAGAGTAAGTTGTTCTGGCACAAATGCAGCAGTCCCGAGCTGTAACATGCGCCACTGGAGCCTGGAGGGCTGTCATACACCAGTGGTCGTACTGTCAAGGAACTGTTTAAGCTCTTTGAAGCCTGCCACATGAGGATGGGTTGAGAGAGCTGGGTGTGTTCAGCCTTGAGCAAAGGAGGCTCAGAGGGGATCTCATCACCACATACCAGTACTTAAAGGGCGGCTACAAAGAAGATGGAGGCTCCCTTCTCACAAGGAGTCCCATGGAGAAGACGAGGGGTAATGGGTACAAGTTAATCCCAAGAAGATTCCGATTGGACAGGAAAGGAAAATTTTCCACCATGAGAACAGTCAACCATTGGAATAATCTCCCCAGGGGAGGGGTTGACTCTGCCATGCTGGACACTTTTAAGACTCAGCTGGACAGGGTGCTGGGCTGTCTTGTCTAGACTGTGCTCTTACCTAGAAAGGTTGGGCCAGATGATCCTTGAGGTCCCTTCCAACCTGGGATTCTCTGATTCTATGATTCTTACATTTTGGGTTCCAGCTTCCCAAAACACCAGCACAAGGACTCCCAGAACCCTGTACCCTCTAAGAAATCTTCAAGTAAGTTTACACAAGCTAATTTTAAGCTAACTAGCAGGTTACTGCTAGCAACTAGACAAAGCAACACAAAGCTCTGCTCTAGCAAACCACTAGAGCAGATCTTGCAGCTGACAGTGAATGCCATCTGCTGCAGGTACACTGCTGGCAGTGCTAGTTTGAAGGTGACCCATATACATCTTCACAGGTTGCAGTTATGCTCGCGTCCACAATATAGATATATTAGGCTTAAAGTAGCAAAAGAAGTCTTCCCTGCTTCCAGGTATTGTTCTGGTTTATGCAAGGAGGAGGCTTCAAGGGCAGAGAAGCTTTAGGAAGGTGATTCCACACCTAAGACGGCACTTTCATTCTAAAGCATCTTCAGCCAGAGGCATCCATCTACAGGCACACAGCATCTGCTACTAAATCCATGCCTACGCAGAGGTCTACTCCAATATTCCTTCTGTTTACCAAGAGACAAATGAGACCACATGACACACAGATAAATCTTGTGCTGGAAGACAAATGTGAGGGACCTTACCTTTGGATTTATGACAAAGCAGTAATTTTGTCTCTACTCTTCTCAGCTGGGCTGATGCTAACCATGAAAATCCAGCGCCAGGAGGCTCAGTGATGCTGACATATTTTCCTCTCACAAAGTAAACGTTGCCGCAAACAACAAATACCTTCATAATAGAAACCACCACCATAATGTCTAATCTTTCCAAGATTTTTTTCCTAAATCGCATGGATTCCAGTTTTCCTCCACAAAAATATGAAACTGAGTTGTTCTTGCATTTTAGGAGAGCTCAGCCCAGAAAGCAATGCTAAGTTATTTGGGTATTTTTATACATACATAAACCACATCTTTTCTCCTTCTGAATTTCAAGACAAGCATTCAAAGCAAAAGCTGAATAATAATGAATAATAAAATCTCTGGAATATTACACATAGTACACTATACATTGCTGCGTGGGCAAGCACACAGTACAAAAATATGGTTAATATTTGTGAACTGTTAAGGCTGATGATAGAGGAAGCTGAAGAAAAACATCTTGCCCATTACTCAGACCCCACAGGAGATGCTGGTGGTACGCAACAGACATGCACTACTACCTGTCAGTTGTTACTGAAGAGAAAAGCTGAAATATTAAGTGCTGAGGCAGAGATACTCTTCATTTGAAACAGCTTAACTCATTTAATTTCCTAATCCTGCCCAAGAGATTATGAAACAGCTTCTAAAACTGAGGCAGGTTTTGTTCTGCGCACTGTCTCTACAGGGTTTGTATAACCCAAGTATTGTTAGTGTTACATATTTAAAATTTTCTTTTGTGTAAAACATATAGACACAGATATACATGCATACATGTATATGCATAGGTACTTATATTTAATTTCTGTCCCACCGGCAGACAAGCGTTAGGAAACATGACAACTCAAGGTACTAGAAATTTAAGTTTCTTCTGTAGATCCCACTGCCAGCTCTGTAGAAAGGGGGATCCCCACCTCATAAAGCACCTTGGCTCCACTGTAACAGCTGTTGGGTACCAAAGCACCTTTAAGCCCAGAGCTTCATCACCCAAAGAAGAGGGGAACAAAGAACCTGTGCAGGAGTTATTCTCAGGAAGAAAGTTTAGTCCAGATTCCCCAGGGACCGAGCGGAGATGTGCCTGCCTGGTGGCTGTGTGGTAGCATGGCTGGCTCAAAGGTGTTTGAAGTCAAACATTCACCACTAAAAAGTCTGCAAATAAAATTAGTTTGAATACTAAAAGGAAAAATTATGATATTAAAGGAACTCTGGAGATAAACAGGGAACCGAGATGATGATATGTAGACCCTACGTTATCCAAGACTATGCTCCTGATGGAAAGCAGACATGCATGGAGCATGGAAAAGATCCAATGGACCGAGTGACAACAGAATCTGAGATGAACATTAAAACTGCAAGTGTCAGGAGCCAGCTGCGCACAGATGACAAACACCAGCGTTAGCACGCAGGAAGATGGGCAGCAGCAGAGCTAGGTCAGTGATAGCCTGGGAGAAGGAGACAAATCATGCTCGCCCAGCATAGGAAAGCCTGAAGAGGATTATGGCTACTTTCTCTCTACATACACACACACACCCCCGATGGAGCTGAATATCAGAGAGGAAAAACAAATCTAAAGGACAGAAGAAATTGGTATAAAATGATAGCTGCGCTGTACTGAGTAGCAGTTAAGAAAGGGTTGCTAACCAGGAGAGGAAGCCAGCACTGTAATAGTGGGAAACAGTAAACGCTAAACCAAAACTCCTTTAAAGAAAGCATTCAGCAATATTTGTGAAAGGAATGACAATGCGATGCCTACAATAGGGACCAGATTCAGCAACAGGAGATGTCCTAAATGCTGTGTTTCTAAAATTTAAAAAAAAAATTTAAAAGAAGTTACTAGTGTTCCTAGTTTGCAGCAGGTTTTTCTGGACATCTCAAAAAAAAAAAATACTTGAATAAAGTTTGCAGAGTTCTGCAGCTACAAGAAGAGATCAAACACCTACAAGTACCTTTTTGGAACAGTGGGCTTGGCAAGACAGGTTTCTTTTCCAGATCTACAGTCACTCAGAGAGAGCCCCACTGTGCCCAGCAGGGTAAGCACACTGTCCCCCAGGACAAGCAGCTCAGGACCAGCCTTTCCATCTGCTCCATCTGACCTCCAGTTTACTTTTCTGGAAGCATTTATACCTGTCAGGAAGGAAATGCATTCTCTCTTGATAACAAGCTGGTAAATACCGATTTTCTACTCCTATTAAAAGAAGAATGCATTAAGAAAGTTAAAATCCCAGAATTAATATTCAAATTTTTGTCAAAGCCAGGGAACTTTGCTCAAGCCAACACCAATACAGCCTCAATACAGAGTCCAGATGAAAACAACTGCTGAGATGCCGCCCTCCTTCCTGCACCCCCCGGCCCCAACAACCCCTCCAGTATGAATTGCTTGCTCCAAGGAGGCACCAAGGTGAACACAGCTATGCCGCATACACACCAGCTTAAAATATGGGAGAGGGAAGAGTTCACATCACCACCTCCTGAATCATCCAGGGCTGGAGACGAAACAGGGAATGCTTTCCCCCACGTTGTTTCGTGCCTGCACCACCAGTAACTTTTCTCTTTCTCACCTGGTAACACACAGAGTTGTCTACATAAGCAAAGAAGGTCAAGCCCAATCGTCAGCGGGCGTTAGCAATACAGACCCCAACAAGCCTTCACTGGCAGTTCTTTATACACAATATATACTTAATACATTTTCCTTTTTCTTTATCTAACAGTAGACATGCACTCCTCTCATGGGCCTGGGCAGTAATCTAGAAATTACTTCCATCTTAGCATGTGAAAGCCACTTTATTAGGACGGAAGTGCCTATCTTAGCAATTAGAGGATATTGGTTTTTAGGGTGGTGACTGCTGCTCACCCTCTGTTTGCAAAGTTTACAGCCAAATTAATTCAGTGCAGCAACAGGAGCTTTGTAACTTCAGCACTCATTTACCCAGTGCAGTTAAGGAAATGCACGTAGCTTTGGGAATTTGGCCATGGAGTTTCCGTTACTTTGCAATGTTACCAGAAATACAATTTACAGTTCCAAGACTGAAGGGTTTGCCTGATCCAGAATAGCAGGAGAAACAAGTGCACTAACGGAGAACTTCTGTCAGCTACTAGTATCAGGTAGCATCTATAATCTAACTAACTAGGCTGCTCGGCTCAAAGTTGTCATTCTCCACACCAGTTCTTCACAGTACAATCAATAAAGTGATTTCAGAAAATACACCTGTGCCTGTGCTGCTGTGCCATACAACCAGGAAGCTGTTTCCTAACAGTTTAGCATAAGCATCAGCTCCACCTTCCAATTAAGCAGTAACGACACAGAATATGTGCATTTGTAATTAACACATCCATTTCTGGAGTGGATGTTGCCTCACATTTCTTCTGTGAGCCAAGATCATCAACAATTTAATTACAGGGAATTGCTACTTGTCATGTTTCATTGAAACCTCTTTTAAAAATGCTTAAAGGCCTGAAACATCACACAACCACATCCAAGATGTCAGCCTAGGATGCAAGTCACAGGGTTTTGACGCCCTAGCTGTGAGGACACTTAATGGATGCAAGTTTCTTCTCATTTATTTAGAAAAGTTACTCAACAGGAACAAGGTTAAAAATATCCCCTTAAACTTGGAATTTGCCTTGTGAAAGCCTGAGATGCTGCTATCCCCGCGTACTTGCAATTCACCTCTCCACTGATGGGCTGCTGCATCCGGCACTAAACTTCTCCAGGACACTGACTAATGTACCAAATGCTACCCAATTATAAGCAGTTTGTGTTTAAGATGCGGTACCTTGCAAGTATTTCTGTATTTTCTAGAGAAAAAGCATGTAGCTTGACACAACTCTAAGGCATAACTTACTCCAGATTTTTTGATAGGAGGTCATTGCTTTATTGCATCCCAGGAGACCGGAGAAACATGTTAAGTCTTTTTATGCTGCAAACATTTGACCTTCCTGAACTCAGTATCTGACAGACATACACAGGACAGAGCATAGCAGAGCGGCAGCAGGGCAAGAGAGTGCCTGAAGAACTATATATCCAGCCTTGATTTAACAAGCAGCAGTATTAGCAGTTGGCTCAAATGCAGAGTAACAGGATACTGTGTCGAAAGCTTTTCTATCAACTGTAGTGACTGCATTCCTTGCTTGATTTTTTCTGTGCACAGATCTCCAACACAACTCTCAGATTCCTGGAGGTCAAAAAAAAACTTCTGAAGATGGCCAATAAGGGAATTCAGTAACAAAACTCTGGTCACTGCCAAAGAACTTCCTTGATTTGAGACAGCATCCTGACAGGTATGCGAATGACTGCCTCATGTGGAGGCCACACTCTGAACCTCACCCCTCCAAAAAATATTGCAGTTACTAAGATCATTGCTACCCATCATACTGCTCAGGGGTCAGCTAGCACTCACTGCACCAGGTCTTCCTAAAGCTTGTCCTCTCTCACGCTTACAAGTGTACTTGGACAATATCCACCAATACCTGGACCAAAAAAAGATCAAAACATGACATAAGGACCTATATTTTAGTTTTCAGGGGGTTTTGTACATTTTTATGTAAACAAAGGAGTCAATGATAATTTTATTCCACTGAAAGCCATGCCCTGCTTGGTGGGTAACTTAGCAAAATGTACGTAACACTATTTTCTAAGGACTGGCTTTCTGTGAACTCAGGCAGATCTGATTTTATGACAGAAATTTCTCCAAATTCATCTCCTAAACCGCAGGGTCTTCTCCTGAACGACCTCTGTGCTCTAAGGTACAGGACACAGAACAGAGGATAGGAAGAGAGAAGATCTTGCTGTGCTACGGAAAAAAAAAAAGTAACATTTAAGAAATTCACACTTGAAATGATCCTCAAAAAGATTCTTTGATTTTTACAGATTTTTTCCTAATGAGAAAAATTCTTAATGAAATGTAGTCATTTTGGTCTGCTGCAGTGAAAAGAAGAGGTGGGACACACCAGCACCCCAAAAACTGGAGAAGGAGAGGCAGCACTGACGTGTCCCTATTCCGCTGTCCTTTTAGGTATAAGTTCTGGACATGCTGCTTCTGCAACACTAAGCCAAGCAACAAATTAAAGTTAATCAAAGATTACAAAGGTCAGATATCCCATGCCCACAAGCATTCACATGGTTGTCAGAATTTTATTCTAAATAATTTAGCATGGGTTTTTATAAGGCAGAATTCCTGTAAGCAGGGTACAAGTCTATTTGCGATGATTTCACAAGACAGATATGCAGTTGCAGAAGTGATCTCAGAGATCAGATTCAGATTTATTTTTCTCCCAGTTCCCTAAAACATAGCTAAAAACCTATTTCTTCATATTATATATTAGGAAACACTAAAAAAAGATAAGTGATGATAGAAGGTTCAGTACCACACTGCAAGAAAGAACTGAGTTGATTCACAAATGTTTCTTTAGTTGCCTGATGACACCTGCATCTATGAAGGCTGATTCCATACGTTAGCAGAAATCAGACTTTACAGCTTTAACCCATAAACATAAAATCCAACCCTCAAAGTTTCTACCAAACTTTCCAGCCTAAAACTGCCCTGGGATCGACTGCAAGGGAGCACAAGAGAGCTCGCTTAGTCCAGCCATGTCTTCAGCACCACAAAACACCGAGGGATACAGCCTGTCCTTCACCACCCTTCCCACCAGCGCTACGCTCTCTCAGTTTGACAGCTGATTTCAACAGACGTCGGCAATACATCTTCTGCTCAAGTCACAGGCTCTTCTAGAGGAGTTACGGCACAGTTCTGCAAGATAAACAAACATCTACCAGTACCTGCGTGAAACGATAATCATTTCCAACCCAATACAGACATAAATCTCTCATGAGGAGCAAACAGGCAAGCATCTCCTATCGCTGGACTAACATCAGTACCACCCCAAATGAGCCCCAAATAGCAAATAAAGAAAAATTAAGGTGTTATAGTATTTATACCATATAAAACAGCCATTGTTTCTAATCATCATGGACTGTTACACAAGTCGCAGCTATTACAAAACTTTAATATTCCTTCAAGAAAAACACACCTGCCTCTCTGATTGGGGATTGTCACCAGCATCCATGCTACCAAATCAAGGTTCAGCACAGGTGATTTCCTCTTTGAAGGAAGCCAGACCCCCTGCCAGCTTGCAAGAGTAAAGCTGCAGCCCCATACACCTGCTTCAGTTCCTACACCATTTCTTTACGTAGCTCTGCAATCTGGTACAGTACAAACACAAATGCAGCTTGTTCTGGATCAACAGCTTGACACTGGCTGGAACAAGTCAGAGAAATCATCTGGCCTTTACACATCCCTTTGAGAACAAATTCCTAATGAGGGTCAAATCAATTAGCTACAGACAGCAGTTAACTTCCAGAGGTCCAGTCGTGGTACAAAGGATCCATAACCAACTACGGACACAGCCAGACAGCTTTCCACCATTCCCTCTTCTGTAGTAGATGCTGGCTGATGTCTTGGCATGACTCAGTGCTCTGTTTGTGTGCTTAATGATTACCGTGCAGAGAGAGATACAGAATAAATTATAACAGAAACAGCCATCATTTCCAATCATCATAAACTATTTTTCCCGTAAACTTCAATCACCATTAATCACTGTCTCTTCCTTGAGATTGAGGAAAACCTGTGCAATTAAGGGAGTAGAGTAATATACCTGAAACAGCCGCAGACAATTAATAAGATTTGGCTTATCATTTGCCTAAATTATTTTAAATGTTACTACAAGTTTAAAGATTTTGCCTCTTTCCTACATCAGGAAAGCCATTCATTTCTCTCTGCAAAAGCATACCTACACAAATCAAATCGCATGAGTCTAATAAACGAGTCTAAGCTCTAAATTGCATTGCAGGACAATTTTTCAGGCCAGAAGTAGACACTGAAGCTTTCTCTACCCATTCTCCCGGCTTAAGAACCTTTTAAAAACGCTGACAACAGAACAGCATCAGTGTTCCAGTATCAGACTCACCTGTTGTACCTAGAGATATCACACACCTCCACCCTCCTACCTACTATTCCTTATTTATACAGACAAGGATCACAGGAACTCCGATGTCACATCCGAAATGTATGCTGTTGCTTCCTCACCCTGACCTCTGCATCCTTTTCAGAGCTGCTGCTATCCCACATACAAGCTGGAGGGAGCAGGTAGCTCGATTCTTAATTTACATTAACAGCATTCAACACACTGCAAGATTGGATCACACTCAGAAAATTACATTAAACACTTTGCTTAAGAACTCTCTTCACAGCATTAAATAATCTGATAATTCTGCAACAATTATATTTGTAGATAAATCATGAAAACACTGAATAGTAAGAAGCTTCCTGGTAACCCAAGGAAAGCATCACCCACTTGAATTGCCAGATTACAAGGCAATTAAGCTCCAATCTTTCTCTTAAATTTGCATAAATCCCCCCCCTTCCTCACCAGGCTTCCAAGTTGGCCAAATAAAGACATGCTTTTTCAGGTGTTTAGTAGCACAAAAGCTCACAGAAGCAGGAAAAAGTTGGGGCTGATCCCTCTCCTTCCTCCCTACATCCCCAGGCACCATCTCCAGCACTCCAAAGAATGGACTCCATTCACTGATCACCCAGCACACGAGGGCAACCAAAAACTCACCCGTCAAACTACAAGGGTAGCTTCCTCTGTCAGCTTAGCATGCTGAAAAGGCTGAAGGCAGGCTCAGGGGAGCAAGTGAGCAGGGGGTAAGACAAGACCACTGCAGCCAGATTGGTTACAGTTGGCTACAAGGGGTCTCAGAACAACATTCATTATTGCTAAAATGATCTTACCACCGATGAAAGCACTGGGCTCCCACTTCTGCAGAAAGCTGGAAAAAAAGCTAGTCAAAACACACAGATTTCTCCTGGGTTAGCTGCAAAGGCCAAGATGAAGAAAAAAGGTGCAAGGAAGAAAGTAAGACCACAGATCTGGAGCAGGGACAGAAGAAAAGCTCTTAAAAAGAGAGAGACTGCAAAACGTGCAATTTTTTTCTCAATTAATCAGCACTTCAGAGGTGGCACTCGTGTATATCTGCTCACTTGTGATGCACAGCTTATCACTGGGCCAAATTTCTTACCACTGCTCTGACCTCCACTGCTCTGCATCACACCACTGCACCATCTGCCGTTGCATCCACCAGACAAACCATAATAAAAAAACTTATAAGAAAGCCTATTCCCCAATATCTCAATCACTGAACTGTTTGGCCAAAACAAAAGATTTCAACCTGAAGCAAATATTAATGAAAAATGTGACTTTTACAAGCATGACTGAGCTGATAGCAAAGAGAAGAGCAACCTTAGCAACCTTGCAGCACTTGGAGATGGGCACCTGAAAACAGAGGGGATATACAAGGCACTACAAAAAGCAATGCGACAGACAAGGCTGTTCCTTCACATTTTAAGGTCTTTTTGGCCACTTGCTGATGTTATCTAAGCAGTTGCTGATAAGGGATTTTTTTAATTTTTAAAAAAAATATGGGACAAAAATCACTGCACAACCCTTAAGGTGTGTTTTAACACAATACAATTTATACCCACATCACAGGATGTTGCTTGGCTGATGTCTGCAGGGCAGAGGACTCTCTAGGGCCTCAAAGAACCCCACAAACCTGCCCCATATTCCACAGCACCAACGGGTCACCAGGGCCTCCTAGCACCCTTGAAAGACTGCCAAACCCTGCTGCACACACCACAGGGACGGGGTCACCCCATCCTCATGGAGGTCTTCAGAGAATCCCACAATCCTGTCCCACATCCCAGAGCACCAAGGGGTCACCCCACCCTCACAGCATCCTTAGAGGACCCTGCCCCACAACCCACAGGGAGAAGGGTCACCACAGCCTCACAGCACCCCTAGGGCACCCTAAAATCCTGCCCTGCTCCCCACAGGGCCTGAGGCAGGGTTGCTGCAGCCTCACAGCACCCTAAGGGGACCCCAAATCCAGCAACACCAAGGGGTCACTAGGGCTTCACAGCACGCCCGGGGACCCCAGGATCCTGCCCACACCCCACAGGGAGAGGGGTCACCTCAGCCTCACAGTACTCCTGAGGAAGCCCTAGAACCTCACCCTACAGCACCAAGGCATTGCCACAGCCCCACAGCACCCCTGGGGAACCCTAAAATCCCGCCCTGCATCCCACAGGGCCACTGCAACCTCACAGCACCCTTAGAGAACCCTAAATCCTGCCTCCCACCCGCAGGGAGAGGGGTCACCCTGGGCTCACAGCGCTCCTGAGGTAACCCCACATGTCCTG